AAACGCTCGCAATGCTCACAGTCTGCTCCCTCGAGAGCAAACTGGGCATGCTGAACTCCCAAACAAACAACACAAAGATCATGTGTATCCCCGCTCGTTAAATAACGCGAGCAGGGAGGAACACACTTTCTAAACTGCTGTTCGTCCGCCATAATCTCTCAATATATATATATAGGGATAAATTGTTTGTGTGGTGCAGGGTATGTAAGACAGACAATATCACACAGGGACAGATTCACATGTAGCGCGACTGAAAGCACAGAAGCTAATGCGCTTGTGTTTTTGGGGTGCTTTATAGTTTCCTGGTCGATGACGTCACCCGCCTATGACGTTTCATCTCTCCATTGGGCTGATTCCATACGTGCTTCATGACGCACAACGCAGGGGCGTTCCCGCAGCGTTTGACGCAGCTCGAAGTTCCCTTGAAAGGGAACTGCACATTTTAGAGTGGCCTTTTATTGTGGCCAGCCCTAAGGCACACCTGTGCAATAATCATGCTGTCTAATCTTGATATGCCACACCTGTGAGGTGGATGGATTACCTCGGCAAAGCAGAAGTGCTCACTAACACAGATTTAGACAGATTTGTGAACAATATTTGAGAGAAATAGACCTTTAGTGTACATAGAAAAGTCTTGTTGCGTTTATAATTTTGTTCAGTGTAGAATCATGTGACACTGAAGACTGGAGTAATGATGCTGAAAATTCAGCTTTGATCACAGGAATGAAATACAGTTTAAAATATATTCACATAGAAAACAGTTATTTTAAATTGTAATATTATTTTGCAATTTTTTTATCAAATAAATGCAGCTTTGGTGATATATTTTGGGGTCAGTAAGATTTTTTTTTTAATTATTACTTTTATTTTTCATTAAATTGATAAAAAGTAACAGTAAACATACAAAGAGTTGTTTCATTTCTTAGAAATGAATGGACCCATTATTACATGCTTTCTTCTGACGATTCAAACAGAAGTTTCTCTGGCAGCATTTTTCAAAATTTCAAAATGAAACCTGCATTATTTAATTTATAGTGGCCTCAACCAAGCTTAAAGGAATAGTTAACTTAAAAATGAAAATTCTGTCATCAATTTGTTTCGAACCTGTATGCATTTCTTTCTTCTGCTGAACATAAAATAAGATATTTCGGTTACCGACATTCTTCAAAATACCTTATTTTGGGTTCAGCAGAAGAAAGAAATTAGTACAGGTTTGGAACAACTTGAGGGTGAGTAAATGATGACAGCATTTTTTAAGTTAACTATTCCTTTAATATTTAATTATGGTGAGAAGAAGAAAAATCAAGTGATAAGAAGTGATCTTTTAAAGGCGATATTTTAAAACATTTTTGGCACAAAGTACAAACCTACCAACTGAAAATAATAATGTGATGTGGTGCAATGACATCTGCTAGTTACAGTAAGACTGCCAATATCAATTTTGCATGCGTGTGTGTGTGTGTTTGAGTGTGTGTGTACGTGCGTGTGTGTATGTTGGCACAAAACATGGTGTGAAAGTGAAGTGCCATGGATTATACATTTATTTTAGTTATATACAGCAGCCTATTCTATATATCAAGAAGCGTTAGGGTTCATATTTGTTGTCCACTAATCTGAATATTTAGATGGTGGTTCAAACTTTGCACCTTCATACTTTGCACCTGAGGTGGGGAAATACAATTTCTTACTTCAGCAATAACCATTTAAAATAAAATTATATTTATATAAATTTTTTTTAAAACCCCGACACATTCAGGCACAAATTGCACCGTTTCCTGAGAAAGACCCAGCCACTTTCGCTGTTGCATTTCCCTCTTTACATGAAATGCATCTCGAGCATGAAACCTAAATGAAACATATATTTGCCAGGGGATTTTGCTACAGCTCTTGAGGAATTCATGTGACATTTCATTTCACATCACAGCTGAACATGCAACATTTTACTCTGAATGCTAAGAAGGTTTCACAGCATCTAATCGGAAACCATTTGGAGTCATAGACAGCTGTCAGTGATGTGGAAAATCTATGCACCAATACCTTAGATCATCTGACGAATAAAGAGCAGAAGACTGAATGGTTAATTTCTGAATTTGATTTGCAATGTGGCAGTGCCAGCCAGTCACAGAAGAACCATGCATTGAAATCCTCTTTCTTGTGCCACGTACACATGATGTTTTTAATTAGACTCCCGTGACAGCGAACAAATGCACACTGTTTGCTGCAGATACACGTTTTATCTATATGCACAACCATACTGATGATGTTCATTGAAATGTAAATCGTCCAATGTGGATTTGAGTCCGCAAATGTAATGGAAAGCAATCAAACATTCCTGTTGCCTTGAGCTATGAGCTCTGGAAAAAGACAAACACTTCTAAAACAGCCATAATGTACTGCTTTAAAATCATATCTATAGACCGCAAAATAATAATAACAAAACCAAACAGAAAGCCAAATGCTGGTGATTTATTCCATATTTTTCATAGCTCCAGTATTATTTCAAATCTTTTTGAAATCACATTCGGCAACTGCTCCGCCGGCTTACTAAGATAAAGGGCAAAGGTCCATGGACTTTAAAAGAGAGGTGGCCATTGTTAATATTTAATGCATCTGGAAACAGTAATTAAGTTTTCCCCACAAGAAAAGGAATTTGACATGCTCTGGAGAGCCAGTGAGTAATTATATTTGTAAAGAGCAGTGATATAAGATACTCCCCCTTGACTAGGAGTCATTACACGCCATTAAAGGGTCCCAGCAAGCCCGGCCTTACCCACACTCACGCACACACACACACACACCAGTCGATGCTCAATGAGACAGGATTTCTATAAACAAATTGTCTCTGACCGAACTCTGTGTCTGATCAAATCTGAGTGCCACAATATTCACATATCCCATCAGTCACAAAGAGCCAGACGCAGCATCCGCAGGAAAGACTCGCCGGTGATCTGGCATTGGTAATTAAATATTAAACCAGTAATGAGTTCTCAGCCATCCACATGGTGTGGAGTTCACATGCGAAAGTCTCCAAATAGGGCCCCTGGAGAGACAGGGTCCACACTTAGTGGCAATAATTATCACATCCACAGGACAGGTGGAAACGCTGCAGTGAGATGATAAAACTCCAGCGAGACTTATTAAACAGTGCTCGGGAATAAAGACTGCTCGGTGAGCTGATCGTTGTTAGTGTGTTGCAAATTTCCAGACTGTATTCACACACATCTCGAGTGCTATTTTCATTCTAGACTGCTTTTATGTGATCCTCAAATAAGGCACAGGCATGCATGAATACATGAATTTTACATCAAACTCCTGTAACCTACATACAGCCATGTTCACGGAGCATTCGCAAGTCAGAATAGCCACAAGCTAAATGAGGAATCTTCTACATACCGTATAATTCTCTCTTCTTACCTTTAAGCTGCATAATTAAAAGGAGGCTCTTTTTCATATTAATATCCTATTATTTATTTACTTTTCTTCCCTGGAATTGTTCGGTCTGCTCTGAATTTCAATTACATCTGCAGCAGGCAAATGAGGGGTGTCCTGTGTTTTAATAAAGGGAAAATGCAAAGTTCATAGTGCTGTCATCATTCCTTGCACAACCTGTAGAGATTGTAGCATTAGCAAAACATCATTTGTAAAATATTTGCCGAATGCAACCTGCGAGTATTTAACGGCTGTGAGTAATTGCTATATTTCACACCAGTGTGTGAAATACCGCCTTGCTTTAGTAGGAAATAGCAAACTTTTAGTCATAATGGATGGTGTCGACTTGTGTTGTTCCGGGTTTCTTTCAGTTTTCAGTGAAGGATCCAGCGTGTTGAAGGCAGCAACTAAAGGCTGCAAAGAATCGTTAATACGGAGAGAATGCAAAGATGGAAAATCTGAAAAACCTCTGTGTATGTAGTCAACGTTTCAAACTGGATGAGCACGAACAGTGTTTCAGGCAAACGGAGGGAAAAACCGAAAGAAACTGCCAGTTCCGCCCGAAGCAAAACACCGTCACGTAAAGCTGGTTGCAAGAGTGTTCAATTTTGACCATAATCCTGTTTAAAGCATAGACATACAGTAGTACAATAGAATTTTTAGTGGAAAAACTACTCTTACAATAACTGTTCTGTTAATAACCCTCTGTCGATCCGACGGTCCGTGGGCGGGGATACAGAAATATGGAAGTATAATCTGTCGTTTTCCCCAAAGCCCAGGAGCGTTTTGTCCTCCGGCGGACGTTTGCTGAATTTCTCAATCCAGGTAACATGAGGAATGAGTAAACATTGTTCATTTACATATACTACCGACATTGTAACAATACAAAGTGGGTTGAAAAACGGCAAAGTTGCACTTTAACAGATGTGGTCTTGTCTCCAAAAAGTTGTAGGTTCAAATCCAGCAAGGAGTCAGCCATGAACTATACGAAGTGTGCTTTTGAGCAAGACATTTGACTTCAGGTTACTCCAGGATTGCTGCTTCAATATGTGTGTATAAATAAAATAATCTGTTAAACAACCGCTTACTAAAGGACCTTCAGTATAACAAAGACTCTTCTTTTTGGGATGTATTTTGGGTTCAGAATCAGCTTTAAAAAAACCACTCTTCATTGTGCTTATGTCTCAAATATAAAAGCATAACTGGATGACTGGACATTTTTCTGCACAGATTTTAACAAGTAATAATAACAACAATAATAATTCATTACATTTGTAGGCTATAACGCTTTTCTGAATCAACACAACACTGTTCAAGCCAAACAAAAACAAAACAAAAAAGACAAAAAGCCAAACTGATTGACCTTTGGGAAGCGTTTATACCGCTGATTCATTAAATCAACTGAATCTCTTGCTTCAGTGTTTTGCATTTACTGACACAACAAGCAGCATTCAGCATATTTTTCAAGTAAACGTAAAAATAGTAGTTTTAATAATTAAACCCAGACATTAGCAAACATATGCTAAAAATGGCTGCTCCTGGAAAGTTATATAACAACGAAAAGTGCTTACCTAGGACGCCGACTCGGAAGTTGAGCGTAATAACGATGACGTTCCCGTAACTGGCCAGCACGCTTCCGTCAATCATGTTCCCGGTGCCCTCCATGTACGATCCGCCGTGAATGTACACCATCACAGGTTTGGCTCCAGTATCTCGTATGTCTGCAAGAGTGGCCACCATTAAACTCTCACTCCCCCACTGGCCCGATTCAACACAGCAATGCGTCTCACAGTCCTCCCAGATACCAGCCACCAGCTCGATTACAGTCTGAGATGCATCTCATATCAGCCGAGTCATTTGTCTCTCGTAATGAACAGTATGCGCAAAACAGATATGAACAGATGAAGCCATATGGAAGGTCAGAACCTAACTGGCTATTGCAGGCGGCTCTAACACGCTTTAGTGGCCTAAATGATGAGCTCATCGCAAATTTAATGGCCTTGTTAGACTTCACTGCTGTGGCACACAGACACCGAAGGGTTTAAAACGGGCAGCAATTGAGGGAGGAGGAGGGAGGGGGGGGCGTGTATTTTAGTTCAGCCAAAAATTAATATGATTGTTCTGATCCCATATCATTGTTTTGCTTCTGTGAAACGCATAATCATCTTAGGCAAAAGTGAATGTTGTTTTACACTGCCAAGCTCCAAAAGCACCACAAAAGTAGTCCATACATACACACTGTAAGCGCTAGTGTTCTGAGGCCAGAACCAAATTTATGTTATTATTCACTGAAAATCAGTTACAATTCGGTGCAATTGGACGTCACGACAGGTTTGGCATCATTGACACCAAATGCTATTGGTTCTCTTATAACGTGACCTCTAAATTTTCTTACATTTTAAAACTAAATTAACATGGCTGTATGACTTCAGAAGACATAGTGCACAAGTTGTATGAGTACATTTTTGAAGTTTGACAGTACACTGTAAAAAATGGTCTTAATTTTAACAGTAAACATGTTAATTGGTTAGCAGTATAAATATTTTAGGTTTAATGACATTTAACTAAAGTTTACGGTAAAACAATGGCAGCTGTGGTGCTTTACCGTAAAAATATGTTAGTAATATATTAGGTTTTATGGCATTAAACTTTAATTTAAGGAAAAAAAAAACAAAACAAAAAAAACTGAGAGCTGTGGTTGCCAGTACTTAACCATAAAAAGAATGGTATTACAAAACAATTTGTCACATATGTGTACAATGTTGATGTTCTATTGAAAATAATAAAGTTTGATGTATACAGTATATCAACATTCACTTTTGTTATATGGAAAACAGAAGCTCGGACAATCTATTGCAACATCTCCTTTTGTGTTTCCCGAAAGAAAGACTAATACGGGGTTGGAAGTACATGAGGAAGAATAAAAGATTTTTTCAATTTTGGCCAAACTATTCCTTTAAAAGAAATCACAACGTTTCTTATTTCTTTAATATTTTTTTACAGGCATTTAACTATCAAGCATCAGTTCAGATTTGTTTTAATGACATAATATAAAAGAGAACACAAGCAGAGAAAATGGTCTCTCTACCGAGATGAAAGAGACACGAGCCTGCTGGGCTGAGACTCAAAATGCTGTATTGTATTGAAGGTTGCCATGGATACGGCAGATCAAAATTCAGAATCTTTGAGAAAGCCTAATCGCAAAACACCACTCCAGTGCGTTTTCCCCCGTTCGCATCCAAGCCCTCCTGTTAAATATGCGCTTATTTGCATGTATGTGGTCACAGCAAATTACCGACTTGCTTTTTTGTGCAAAAAACCCCCCAATGTTATTTGCAATAACTGTGCCACTGTCTGCTTAACGTCTCCTTTACACGGTAAGAACGCATTCACACGTTACACGCCTGATCTGATGGAACAAGCGAGAACTGATTTGTATAGGATTTTTTCATTTCAGATCTGCCAGCTAAAACATTTACGGTTACGTTTAAAGATTTATCTGGTATCTGAGAGAAGTATGATAAGACACTGCTTTGAAATGACAATTCTCTGTTGACACTTATCGTACGGAAGAAAGACAATGTATGGAGTGGGAAAAAGAGGGCGAGAGAGAAACAAATGCACAAGATTTCCTGCACAAGGGATGCACAGGATGAGATATAGAATGAACAGATCAATTAGAAAAACAATACATAGATAAGTCATGTCAATGTTATCAGTAACCTCTTTTGTTGATTCACAAAACACAATACTCTGCTAACTGATCTCTTCTCTAGCAAATATTCATGTATAATGTCAACATCAAAATCAAGCTAGTCCTTCAAAAGGCACATCCTGAGGAAAAAGAGGAGACATATTGATTAAAAAATGCATTATAAAGACATTTCATAAAAACATCATTTGAATGAACAGGACATAGATGACCTCAAACATGAGGGGTGGAACTATAGGACATTAAACTGAAATGTCAACTTCATGAATGCACAATAATGGTTGATATGTTCTTTGACATGAAAACATGACTCATTTGCTATGACACACACACACACACAGACTCACAAACCAATGCATATGCTTCATCTTGACATGCATCCTTTCCCTTTATATAACCTCCATCAAACATCTCCAAGTGAACTAAAGAAGGTGAAGACCCCCGCTTCCTTAAAAATGAAACAACACTTAACACCCCTGAGTTGAACGACCTTCTCCACAAAGTCTTCAGCATCTCCATCAGAGTTGTGATGAGGGTGTGAAAACATGGTGGATGTCAGAGCTGTAGAGCTCAGGAGGAGGAGGACGCGTCAAGCTATCTGTGAACCTCTCAAAATTCTCCACGGGCCACCTCTCAACGGCCTGTCACTCTAGAGGAACTGGACAGCGTGAGCACTGATAAGTGGCCCGGACTCGCACTGACGCTGTAAAACATAGAAACTGTCAAACGTTCACATTGTGAGCATTGTATGAGCTCCCGAGCCGAGGTTTCGACTTTAGACCCCACCGCTGAGCTCATCACGGATAACATAAATGTTGGAGATCGACATTTCCAGGGCAAACTGAATATTTCTGAAGCTATTATGGAGAGAAAAAATGTGAGCATGGCTCGGACTCTGCAGGAAAATACATAATACATTCACATGCAGCCTTTATACACTGTCTACAGCAACCTACAGTAGCTACAACTATATATATGTGTGTGTGTAACTCTAAATATATACACTAGAGTTATAACTCTACAGTATATCTCTAATATCATAGACTAGAGTGGTGTGGGGTAGAGCTACGCTCTGCCTGAAGTGTACATGTTGAGTAGACTCGTCCGAATAAACTTCCCTCATTCATGCACTTGACGAAGTTGAACGCACTTCAAAATGGCGGCGGGGATTCCCCTTAAGGGAAGAGTTAAACACAGCCATAGACATACTACATCCTGAATGCTGGCAATGTCATGTGACCTACGACATCAGACACACGGCTTCACCGGCAGAATGTCATTCGGGTACTATGTTATAAATACTGCATACTACTCATTTCACACAGTGCTTTGCGCATACTGTATTGTAAGAGAGTAGGCATAATGGGATGTAGATGTACGGCGTTCCTGCGGTACTAGCACCACAAGTTTTAATATATTTTTTTAATTACAAGTTTTAATGACACATATAGGCCTAAGTGAACTGCAAAAGGTGTGCATGTGGCAATTTGTAGACGTAGACTTCAATGGCTCAACCTTAATCCTGATGGGGACGAGTGACCTTTGAGGAGGGTGAGTTCTTCAGGCTGGGCTGTGGTGTATGTGCATTTAATATAATGGTACTAACACAGAGACAGGGGGTTTGATGTGCTCTTTGAAGCCTAGCTTCTAGCAGTGAATGAGGAGGAGGGAGAGACAGAGAGAGAGAGAGAGAGAGGTTGGGGGGTGGGGGAGGGGTGGGGGTGTGTGGGTGGGGGGGGGGTGTCGACAGTTTCTTCTGAAACCCAATGCACCACCATGCAGACTCCACATCAGACACCTCACACGCTACTAACCAATAGCACTACTGCATACACTCACACCCCTCATGATGAAAAACTCGAATTTGAGACAATTTCCTGAGACTGATGCAAAGGAAAATGGACTTTACAAATGTGAGTGCCTTTGTCCATGCAAAACCCACCACCACACAGCTAGGGTGTCTAGGATCTTTAATAGCCCAAAGAGTTCACCCTTCTATGTTGCTCTGGTTTAAACGAGACAATGTGTGAGTCCCTCCATCAGTGTGAAGGCCTGTTCTCACCAACACAAATGTTCAGCACAAAAATGCACTCTGATTTTCACAAGCGATTTGTCTGGTTTGACCAAAAACGGCGGACAGACTGAATGATAAGGGAATTTCACTCTCTGACAGTAGGTGGCGCTTATTCATTATCCATTTCAGTCGTTTCCGACTCTTGGCGATTCAATGGGTCATCTCTTGTCAAATGAGAGACTGCCCAGGAATTGTCTTGCCTATAATCTTTTTTTTTCTGGGGTAGATCGCCAGGTCATTGCCCAACCATCCCCGTTACCTGGCTTGGGACTCACACACACCTATGGACAATTTAGCATCTTCAGTTCACCTATACTGCATGTTTTTTGATGGGGGAAACCAGAGCACTCGGAGGAAACCCATGCAGACATAAAGCCACTGAGCCATAAACGCACTACACGACTTCTGACGCTTGTCAGAGACAATAAAGAAGTGAAACAGCATTTACACATTTTCAGATTACTGTATTCACTATGGCAGTGGTCGGCAACCTTGACACACAGGGATAATCACATAAAAAAAAAAAAAACATTGTAAATTTCTTTTTAATTTGAAAATCTCATTTTATTTATTTGTGAGTTTTATACATTTTTGTTTACGGATTACGGTTTACGGATTCTTCCTCTGATATTCACTGTTGTTTTAAGTAACAGCAGAAGCTCTGAGCATGTGATCAAAGGCGCAAATCTTATTGGTTGGTCAGGTTTATTTGCAGTGCGATGGTAAAGTGATTAGAACAACTCACATTACAAAATCACATTGGCGGTATGCAAATGTTCATATTGGCTCGAACAGCCATCAAAATGTTTATCGCACAAATTTTCGCTCCAAACATTCGTCTTGGTGTGAACAGGGCTTCAGTATATATATATTAGTATATAGTATATATATTAGTATATAGTATATATATATATATACAGTATATAGTATACAGTATATATATCTTTTATTTTTTATTTTAACAAATGTATTGTAAGTTCATCGTACGTTCAATCTCTTGGAAAACGAATAGCACACCTCTCCAAAACAAGTTGTGTAATTTGAGGTCACTCCTGTCTTTGCCACAAACGGTGCAGGACAAGTTCTACATCAAAGTTTAAGACTGCGGATAGGAGTTATTTCAACTTACTAGCCAACAACGCAACATATGCACTATGTCTGTTCCTTCAACTACTGGCACAACATTATACAGACAGGCATACATCCAGTTTGGCCCATTGTTTGTTTAACCCATCCTGTGTGACAGTGGGTACTGAACTCTGTGAAATCCATCCTAACACCCCAGCAGGTGGAGATGGCCTGGCCACTGGCACCATCAGAAGATGGCTGGCATCTAGAGGAGACAAGGGCTCTTTTGCCCAATTAGGGCACATGGATAAGCGAGCCAATGCAATGGCAATGTGCATCTATTTGTCAGCGGTGGGAAGTCTATGACAGCAGACACATGAGACAAGGTATATATTCCTGTGGGCCAAGGACAATTTATTACTACTGCCATGTTCTGCATTAATAATTAGTTCCATGTGCCTAAATATACGCCTACAAAATGTACAATAATATTGAAAACCTGAGTGGTAGGAGGTGTTGTATAGCTTTGCTTAGCAGCACCTGAGGTTGGCTTAATTGCCAGAGATGTTCTACAGAATGAGAGGCACTGCAATATGTTTGTGCCAAGCTTGATGACTGAAATAAGGACCACCAGCTGAGAAATGATGCCAACAGCTTGCTAGTTACATTATGTCATATGAGCCCAGTCTCTTTTAGTGCGAAAGACAGACATCTGGGCTGAATCCAAAGTCATATTGTATCCATCAGATACTGTAAATCAGATTAGGATTGCTGCATCCCAAATCAAACACATCAAATTGCTCAGAAAGTTGCTTGTGTGGCGTTTCAGGTGGAATTTGGAAGTATACGCCCAAGCACACTTTTACCTATAGAAAGGTATGTGCATTTATCATGTTAACAAGGTGTTATTTTATGACACAGATGTCCCAATACTAATGTATTGACTTCCTAGCTTGCATTCCTACCTAGAAGCAGATGAATTGGGATTCAGTCAGAGTTAGCAGAAAGAGATTGCCTTAATTTCAGCCTAAAGGCTCCTTTGTGACCTGGCGAAGGGTTAAGTGTGTGGTGATGTCGTCTAGAAATGTTTGCCAAGGAAGCATGGCCTAGATTCACAATGATACTATGTAGCCAGAGACGAGAAGAGGTTGTAAGGTGAACAATGTGTCATGATCACTACTACAATAATTCACAGATATGCAGTGGCAGCTCCACTGTAGATTCTGTGTCCGAGTATTGTTGCTTTGACTAGCACGCCTTGTTAGACAAATGGGGCATACTGATATATAGTTGGCTCAAGTGGAATATCATTCCGGCGCTGTTCAAGTGTCAACACTTATTTGTAGCTCTCTTACATGTGATATCTTCAGTGGAGATCACCCAAAAATGCTTTAACAAGGAACTATTTACCAACCACAACCTTCCAATCTAGGGCAAAGCATTCAGCTCATTTGCACTTTTGCCTGCTTTGTCTTTTTGTTTTATTTTAATGTTATGGCATGCTTCACAAGCCATGTTCCCTATTGTCACAGTTGACGCCATATCCCTGGGCCATTCAGAGTCAAGGAAAAACAGGCAGCCCATTGATGCAAGGTAATTGGCACCTCATGCAAAAACATGCCCTGGGCTAGAACACGGACACCTCAGTGGACTACATCTCAATCCAGAGCTGAATCCACATCCCACTGGGACTGCTTCGGCCATAAACCCAACCTCCAGACCAAGCGGTAAAGCCTCTGGAAGGACATGCTGCTTGACTGCTGGAGCCTAGTGGATTTTTCATGGAGAGCCGCCACATTTGCACAAGTCAGAAATCGGATTGTCTGAACCAGCCAATTGCAAAGGTAATGCAACCGCTTTGGATTGGAAGTCCAAATCCTCCCGCGGGAAGCTCCTCTACATGTGGACGTGTGCATTACAAGGCCTCTGCCTCTACTGGTATTGAAGGAAGCATATCGATTAACACTGCTGTTAATACCACTGACTGAGTCGCTTCAAACGTGACTTGCTTCCGTTTCCATTTCAGCCGTAGACACTGCTGTAAAGTACAACAGTAGAATGGCAAATGCGAAGCCATCTCGCCTGCGACACGGTAAATGTGACCAGCCAAACAAACTGAGTGCAGCACTTAGTCTGAACCAACAATGGCACAGTAGGGGCGTACAGCTAGACCATAACTCCAGCACTGAACATGTCCCTCACCTATAAAATCTATTGTCAGTTTAGGAGCATAAAGGAACAACAATAACAGGATTTGAGATAGGTTCCGGGGTTTAAGCCTTTTGCAGTAACCGGGGAAGAATACTTTCCCTATTCTAATCTCGCCAGATATCCACCCTGAGCCTAGAATATCCCAAGATAAATGCTGAAATTGAACAATGCTCTTGCTGATTGGCAACTTCTCTTGCGCGCATGCTTCCCCCCCCCCCTCCGTTGCTAATCCTCTTACCACAACTTGTCAGCCTCTCTCTCCTCATCTAAATCCATTCGGCTGTTTTAAAAACTGTGTTGTGATACCCCATGCTTGCCTCATTTGTGCCTCCATGTTGCAGAACACAAACAGCGTGAGCAAATGTATAGTCACGGGAGTGACTATAACGAAAATATTTCGATTACCACTTCATGAAAAGATGTGTTTTGCACTATACAATGGCTTTGAACTACTATACAATAGTTATTACACGACTAGAAGACACTCAACAGCCGGCTTTATGTCGCACGCAGGTCAAGCACTGTAACACAACGCTCAAGGTTCAACCAATTTCAACTTTGACACCATCTGCTACAGACCTTTTAGAAATGGATCCTGTGTATCTAACTATAAAGTGTTTTATGACATGGCATCGAATGCATAACATATTCTTTGTAAATAAATAACTTGTAAAATCACCCCTTTCATGATGCAATGTAAAAAGTTTCTCATGTGGAGGTCATAGCAATGTGTGTTGAGCAGTTTGCATTGTGTTAAATCGTCTGCGATCACTCTGTAATTTTGATACAAAACATGGCTATATGCTTGATGGCGACACGGACAGGTTGTGTAGCATGCCATTATCCTTGAAATGTATGGACAAAACTATCCAAGGTGCAAGCCAATACGACCCAAGAATACTTGTGACGAGGATAAATATGTTTCGTGCTGACCTCAAAGTGTGTTATCTTGTGAATTACTCACACAACTGACCTCATTCCAATTTTTGGTATTTATATGCATCGTAAATCATATATGTAAAGACATTTGGAAACCAAACTCAATATTTTAGCATATTGTTGGGCTTATACTGTTCATGAGATTTCAATATTTAAGGATATTCTAGTTACTTTTGCATGCTAAATCATTATGTTAAGTCGTGAAGCAAAACCAGTTGAGAATCACTGCACTAATCAACCCAATTATGCATCTGTAGCCTCTGATATACAACAGAAAAAACTAAACACGAAGCCAAGCGGCACCTACGCAATTCACTCTCCCTCTCAAAAATCTCCCCGACATGCTAAGTATTGATGTATTCAAAACACAGTCATCCTCCACAGCCACACAAAGGACTTTGATGACTCTTTAGACCATGAGAGAAGATAAAAAGGTGCAAGAGGGAGGGCTGCATTCAAAGTACAGAAAAATAAAGAAATAATCCAAGACATGCATTGTCTTTTGTCACCAAAGAGAATACCTTCATCTTCATCACCGTCGTTATCGGATAAATCCTCGCCCTGTTTTTTGGAATGGGTTCCTGTTAGTAAAGCGGGGAAAATACAGAGAAGCACAGGACAATTCAAAATAGTATGATCATCAAGACAAGAAAAAATGGACAAAAGAGCTTAACAAAGAGCTGCCACATGTGATCAATATTAGACAGTATTCTTTAACTTAACACAAATCTCTTAAATGTACAACATGATTGCTTATATACAGAATCAAGTTCACATTGTGCATCGATTAGAACACAACCTAATAAGAGGTTTGAATTTTGAGACAGATTATTAAATTAATAGGAGAGCTTTAAAATAACCGATCAGTTGTGTTCCACCCTCTTATTAAGTCTGTTCTCAATATTACAACAGATTTTTGTTTTTTTCAAACAAAGTAGTAGTACAATACAATGAGTGCTGCAGTTTCATTCAAATAAATGACATACTTTCAGAGGGTCAAGAGCTTAACACAATATAAATAAAACCATTACAAAGCATTAACACGACAAGCCTCAATTTGTAAAGATAGAGAAACCGTCATTATTCTTCACGTCCGTTTTAAAATGGCTTAATATAGATTTGACTCTGCTTTTCAAAGCGTAATCATTTCATCATTAGTGTTCATTTCAAGTGAACGCTACAAAACACAGAGATGCAACTAATCACATCACCACAATGTCATCATCAGTGTTTGTACAGATACAGTGGGATAAATCAGCACATTCGTTCATCTGCATGTTTAGCTACAGTATTATCAAAAACCCTATCCCTAAAATCTGTCGGGTCAATTGGAAAGCTGTTCCAGGAACTTGTCCTACTTGACCAAATCCTGGTCACCCAATGATTCATGCCTTAAATCAGTGGGAAAGGATCAGAGAAGTGAGGTCAATCTTTGTATGCATGCTGTTCTTTTAAGAGGTACACGTGTTTAAAGTGCATGGAAAGACCTGTCTGGTGTGTGTGTGTGTGTTGTAGCGCACTAGGTGTGTGGCGTTACACTGTTAGGTTAAGTTGAATGAATGTATTGTTTGAGAGAGGTGGCAGCTGTGATACCCGAGGCGAGAAAGCTCTGTCACTTCAAATGTCCTTTATAGTGAGTCTGGATTTAATGGCATCATGTTGCAGTTCCCATAAACTGTATTATTTTTCATTGAGAGCATTCGCAGTCCAAACGATTCTGCATTAATATATGGCTGACGTTAAACGCACGTCAGCGAAAATCACACTTTCAAATACCAATGCAAAGTCAACCATCAATAACATCAATGAATGATGAATTAAATGAATGAAAGCTGTACTTTATGGAAGCTTGTTTCTCCCATAGAATCACAAATGACAGAATCACATTTCTGACTTTTTATCTCAGAATTGCGTGATATAAAGTCGCAATTGCGTGTTATAAAGTCAGAATTGTGAGAAAAGGTGTATTTGATGAATTGCGATGATGAAAAGATGAATTGTGAGATATAAACTCGCAATTGCGAGAAAAAAAGCTAGAATTGCGTGTTTATATCCAACGCTATCTCACGACCAATTCGTACGAATTCGTACGAGTGATTAAAAGGTGGCTAATTCGTACTAATTCATACGACCTCACTCGTACGAATTCCTACGATTTGTCTTAACCCACGTGATGGGTAGGTTTAGGGGCGGGGTCAGGGGTAGGTCATTCATACGAATTTGGAAACTAAAATATGTACGAATTAGCAAAAATCGTACGAATTTGTACGAGTGAGGTCGTATGAATTAGTACGAATTAGCTACCTCGTAAAATTCGTACGCATTGCCATTACATCTCACAATTCTGACTTTATAACATGCAATTGTGACTTTATATCACGCAATTGTGACTTTATATCTCGCAATTTTGAGAAATAAAGTCATAATTGGGGGATGTAAACTCGCAATTGTGAGATAAAAAGTCGTAATTATCTTTTAAAATGTTTTATTCTGTGGCGGAAACAAGCTTCCATAGTACCTGGTGTCTTTTCCTATGCACAGTCAATGACTAGTTAACAGTTTGTTCCTGTAATTCAGATATGGGTTTGAAAAATATATGCAATGTAATGATGCTGGTTCCTTAACGAGGGTGATGATTGTACTTTAGATAAATGTTCTGGAATCATATTTGAACGTTTTATCAAATACTTTACAATAACATTAGTTAACATTAACTCACAATGAAAAATACTTCTAAAGCATTTATTTATCTTAGTTTGTTAATTTGAACATTTACTAATACAATATAAAAAAATAAAAAAATTTGTAATGTTATTTAATGGAATTGAGTTAACATTAACTATAAACAGTCGTATTTTTATTGACGAATGTTAACAAATCTGTAACAAATGTATAGTTAATATATCACGTAATGCATAACTAACGCACTTATTGTACCTATCTTTAGATTTGACGAACAACTAATCAGTAATTACACAGATTTAAGTCTTGCAGGACGTCATGTTGAGTAGGACATTATAAAACAATAATTTGATAATTTTGGGGTCTTTTTGACCATGTTCATGATGAACCAGACTACACTGTTCGCTTTGATACTGCATTTACTTTTCATTTAGTTTTCGTGTAGCAACAGTTTTTCATTTGTTTTGTCATTAAAACATGCATGTTCAAGAACCGTTGACAGAAATGAATGTCATGTGAATAATTAGTTTCAAATGCAACTGGTTCTGAATAAGATTCCCAGCTCTGTTCGGCACTTTATATCACATTGATATTAACCTCAGCGGACGGCAGCCCATCTGGCCCAGCGTCTCCACACACTTCAGCTTTTACAGTGAGCTAATACAGCCTCTTTGACCTATGCGTCAGTGTAAAAGCGCACTGAATGTGAAGTGCATCCCATTCTGAAGAGCGGGAGAAGTGGGTCAGAGTGACAATGGATTGAGCCCGGATTTACATATCGGAAAGGTCGCAATGTGGCGAGGGACCTATTGGCGAAATGTTGACTTCTAACAATCCAAGATGCTATTCACTTTACTGTCCGTCTCAAATCCTCCCTGTGTGGCTTCTCTATTCCACAATCCCTCTCATTCCTCAGCGTTTGCCATGATATTTGATCTTTTGTTACTTCTGGAAAAGAATTTCCATGTGAAGTATGCAGATGAATATTAATCAAGTGTGTTTGCATGTCTATGTGGTGTTTTTAATATGCAAATTTAATGTGCAAATTCATCAGTCTGAGTATTTTCTCCTTAAAACTGCAGTGAACCAAAAACGGCTGTTTCCTGCCATCACGATCATGTGACCAATCCCGTCACGAGGGGGCGGGGCTTTTCTCCACTCACTTTCTATGGTGTTCAAAGCGTTTCTAATGATGCTGACTCTGAGATAGGGAACGGAAACACACACCAGCTGAAACACAAGCAGGCGAGAGCGTAAACCTTTATCATAAAGCTTCTTAAAGTAGCAGATTTATCATTTGTTAATCAGTGCGGTATTTGACGGTTATGATCGCTACTGAGGATAGAAATCATTGGACGAAGACTTGAATTTGAGTTTTTCATCCAACACTCTAAAAAATGCTGGGTTGTTTCAACCCAAATTTGGGTCAAATATGGACAAACCCAAATGTTGGGTTAAAAATGTAATCAAAAAATTTACAGTTGAAAGTGAAAGTTGGGTTAAAATTTTAAATTACATTTTTAACCCAACATTTGGGTTTGTCCATATTTGACCCACATTTGGGTTGAAACAACCCAGCATTTTTTAGAGTGTACACACTAAAAAATGCTGGGTTGTTCAAGCCAAAGTTGGGTCAAATATGGACAAACCCAACCGTTGGGTTAAGTCTTATATTTACATGTTTAACCCAATAGTTGGGTTTGTCCATATTTGACCCAACTTTGGGTTTAAACAACCCAGCATTTTTTAGAGTGTACATTTTAGGGCTTTGCAACGATTAATCGTGATTAAGCAAAATAAAAGTTTGTGTTTACATAATACAGTATATGTGTGTGTACTGTGTATAATTATTTTGTATATATAAATACACACACAAATGTATAAAAAATGTGTTATTTATAATGCTCGTGAACTCACGTTGATAAAACACATAACACACAGATACAATCATCTCTCCTTCTTTTTCAGATACAGGAACACCTGATTAAATGTGTAGATTTCAAAGCATAATCAATATTAGGTATATATATATTTTTAAATACACTCTAAACAATGCTGGGTCAAATATGGACAAACCCAAATGTTGGGTTAAAAATGTAATTTAAAATTTTAACCCAACTTCAACTTTCACTTTCAACTGTACATTTTGTAATCACATTTTTAACCCAACATTTGGGTTTGTCCATATTTGACCCAAATTTGGGTTGAAACAACCCAGCATTTTTTAGAGTGTACAAAAGCGTGACTCATTTAACCTGCAACAATATCAAGCCATTTTAAGAAACTAGTTTTACTTTCTGAAATATCGATGGCTTTTGTGTAAGTCTGACGCCACAGATGTCACAGTAAACTGAAGCTGAGGGCACTTTTGCTGTCTTTCTAGTAACCTGCAAAACCTTGAGAGTGTGAAAGCATTGTTATTTGCTATTATTGCCATAACCTCATCTTTTCATCTAAACCAATTTGAAAGTAACACTTTTGACTACTGGTTAGTTATTATTGTCTCCACTTGTGGATGACAGCACAAAGGAAAGTCGTTTCTGAAGACTTAGAATAAAGTGGACTAAAGAATTGTGTACAATAAAACCAGGAACATGTTATTAAGAAAGTGACTAGAGCCAATTTTGTCTTGATGTGCACTTTAAAGGTTAAGGAGACTATAATGCCAGAGAAAGGACAGCCAAAAATTGACACCAGGGCTTTAGTAGCCCAGAGGACTTTTACATCACAGGCCTTTTGTTTTTATTACGAGTGCTGGATAAATAGAGGAGCGCATTATGAGCTGTGCTTGCTGTTAACCGAACAATAACCAAGAGTCACTGCGAAGAGCGCTTATGAAGAAAAAAAAAAGAGAAAGGCGCACTGAAACTGATTTGCTGGGTTGTTTTAACCCAACTTT